CATTCCAGTATTTGGCCGCTCAAAGAATGTATTATGTTATTCGACATCCATGTTATTCATGACATAGTAGCATACTGGCCTATGTCGAGCTATTTCAGTTTCATCGACCGTCTTGTCTTTGTTGGCCTCTATCTCCTTATTGTACTCATGGGGAGAAATGTGACCATATTACAATTTAGACCCAGAGATATCTCATCTTCTGAGTCAAAATATCATGTCATCATCTTCGACTGAGTCATCTTGCCTTTTCTGGATGATGTTTTCTTTCTTTGAGGAGAATAGCTTTCGCCCCACTCGTTTCTTTTCCTCCTATTTCTGATGGGGAGGGATTTGATTGGTACTTTACTCACCAACCTCCTTTTCATCCATCTCTCTTTGAGCTTTCTTTATCCTTTGATCTCTCCTCCACTGAAACCTAGTCATTGGATTTTTTCCTTTGTAGTTCGCATATTGATAAGCTTTTTGTTTTGATACTTGAAACTCTTTCATGTAAGCAATAGAAGAGCCTATTCCAAACTCAAAACTTTTCCATTGGTTTTTCCCCTGCCCTCTATCGTCTGCTGGTTTCACCCATCTATCTATTGGGGCATCTGCAGGGCGTTTGAAGGTTACCCTTCGATTCACCTTGGGATAGGGGCTATTAGGCCTCATAGGGACCCATCTTTTGTTCAACGTGAAATTGTTTATGTTATTTCTCTAGTTTCCCTTCCTTCGAGCAAATTGAAAGGTCTCATAATCTTCTATAGCCTTTGGATTATAGACACAGCTGCACCTTGGGCATATTGAAGCTTCAAATTGTTTCTTCTTACAGCGAACAGGAAATTCCAAAATACTTTCGTCAGGTCTATGATACACCTTCTTCATTTATTCCTCCTCATGTCAAATGCGCGTTTCTGCTTCATTCTTTTCAGCATGTTAATTCATTTAGACTATGTTGGCCTCAAGGTTTGGACCGTCAGTGATCCTTATCTTCTGGAACTTGATTCTAAGGCCCTCAGTAGCCCTAGCTATTTCAGCATCTTCGACGGTTTTGGAGAGGCCTTCAGTATCCTCCTTCTTTTCAACACCTGCAGAGAAACCATAAGTGACTTCAACCCCAGGTTTTTCATCATTGTGACCCTTAGTGACTTCCACCATATTGATGTCGGAAGGCTCATCAGGGTAAGTTTTTGTCGTCTAGAGGGGGTCATAGTCGACTTTCATCTTAGCTTTCTCGCCAAACTTCAATTTGCCGTTGTTGATAAGATTTTGAATCAAATCCCTAAAAAGAAAACACAATGAGGTTTTATGCCCCAAAAAACTATGATATTTGCAAAAACCTATTTTCTTTCGTTGATCTAACGGAGGAATTTTGGCACCAGGTGGCACAAACATTTGGCCATCCTTTATCAATACATCAAAAATTTCGTCACACTTTGTTACGTCAAAGGTGTATGTTTTCTTAGGGAACTTATCATTCTTCTCAAGTTCTACAGGATTCTTCCCATTCGAATGGGATAAAGGTTTACAAGGATAAGGCGGGGCTTTCTTAAATTTAGTCAATTACATTTTTCTTTCTTTGAAACGTATAGGGTTGTTATAGATCTCTAGCTCGTCATTTTTGGCTTCGACGTATGCCACCTTTTCCTTTCTATTGTTCTTATTTTCTCTAGCCTTTTCAGCCTTCAATCGTTCGACTTGTCGAACTCTATTTTCTAATTAGGCCATGTCCCTTAAGTATTGGGTATCTAACTTCTTTTGAATGGAATAATCTAACCCGCCTGCGGCCAGTTCGACCAACTCATGTTCAGGAACTTGTGTGAAACATCTTGCCTTCAATAAGCAGAACATGTTCAAATAATCATCAATTGGCACTGTAAACTTTCTTTTAATACTAGACAATTCCTTGAGACTAATATTTGATTGTCCCATGTAAAATTGTTCATGGAATAGTCTCTCTAAGCGAGTCCAATCATAGATGGACTTTGCTGGGAGCATAGTGAACCATGTAAACACATTTTTTTGTTAGCGAATTAGGGAAATATTTTATTCTTAGATTCTTATTATTAGATATGTCCCCAACCTCGGTAAGATACCCGGCTATGTTTCCGACAGTAGATTCGCTGGTATCACTAGAGAATTTTATGAACTTTAGGACTTTCCATCCCCTAGGTAACTCTGCCTACAAAACGTATTCAGACAAAGGGGACATATAGTTTGGCCTTTGAAGGCCCACATTTACCCGATTTCGAGCCATTATTCTTTCGACCATGGCTGCCAGATTATTCTCTCTTGGATATTCATCTTGTCGAACCCGTTGAAGGACTTCGTATGCATCTTGGTTTCAATTCACCATGATTATTCTTGGGGATGGTTCTTCCCTTGGTACCGCTTGTTCGTCCCTGGGTTGTTAAATCCTTTGCTGCTGATTGACATCACCAATATTTTGTGCAATTGGTGGCGCCTAATTGACAGTCTAATTTTCTTCGAAAACTACTCCTTGGTTTTCCCTTATCCATTCTCACCTAGGATGTTGAATTTGGGGTTGAACTTGGGGTCGAGGAGCGCCAAAGAAGTCTGCAATTCGTGCCATATGCGATGCTAGTTGTTGATTCGTTCATGCATTTTGTTGATTTGTTTTGATAGCACTTTGAATCAAGGGATTAAAAATAGTGCCCATTTATTGGGCTAGAACACCAACCATTTCATGGTTGCTGCCATCCATTTGTTGTCGAAATGTCGCTGCAGAATTCGTTGTTATGTTAGGAAACTATGAAATGAATCCTCGGGGAGGGACATTTTGACCCATGTTGTTGGGTGGTGGATTAACCATCTTCCTAGTATATTTTCTTTTTGGAATGTGTTCGTTATTTCTGGCTAGCTTTTCACTCCTTAATCTCATACAATAATGTCAAACAAGATAGACTAAAAATAAAACACAAAATACATAGTTTGTGACACGAACACAAAATTGTCCCACTGGGCGTGCCATTTTTTTACCGTGAAAATTGATAAACAACCGCTAGTCTTCTGAATTCTAGAAATTCTAGTAACTTACAGGATCGACTAGATTGATCCTATGACATGTGTTGTGTTTCGTTGGTTTATATCTTTCGAATGTTCATCTTTTCGATGGTTATGATTAAAGTGTAAAATACGGAAATTCTATGTAAAGTGACTATAGGAAAATAAAAAGACTATGACATAAAAGTAAAATGGATGAAAATGATTTTGGCTTATGTAAACTGACAATTAATTAAAATATGGTGATTCATACGTACATTCTCAAGGAATCTTTGCTCTAAACATTGGTACTTCGAGTTTTATGAGTAACTTGTACAAAAGTGAACACACTAAAATATAACATTAAGACCCTAATTTATACTACTTCGACCATAACGGTCTTTTACTATAGACATGTCACGTTCGACGGTGCATGCTTTCTCAAAACCTCAGGCTTCCACGCGTCCTTCTGGATAAGAACGAAGCATTTGAACTCAAAATCAGCCTTCAATCTAAAGCGCCAAACATCATGATGCGATATGTCAAATTATTTGAATTTGAAACTTGAAATATCTTTAAGTCCATATACGTTCCACATTAATAAGACTTCGCAAAATCTTTAATCAGTCAGTCGAAAGAACCTTAGGTAACCAACTTCACATCCCCTTTAAAAATTTGAACTTCCTTTGACATCCTCTCATTTCCTTCCAAATTATATACTGTCGAAATTCCAGCCAACATAAGGTATAAGAGGTTGCAAGTTAAACATGTTATGAAAGTTTAGTGTTAGAGGTTGCAAATTGAACCTGATATAAAAGCTTGATGTAAAGGTTGTGTGTTGAACTTGTGTAAAACCTCTGTTATTATTGGAAAATCTTGGTCTTCTTCTTCTCCTCCTTTCTCCTTTAAAACTTTTTTAAAATCAATTTATTTTATCTCTTTTTTGAAAACTTTTCTTTTATATTTGAAGTCATTTGGTCAATAAAAATATTAATTGAATATATAATAAATCAAAGTTTATCTACTAGTCTCACTTACAAAACACTGCAACAAAACCAAAAAAACCAAATTCCACCGTAATAGGATGATAGACAAAATTACATCACCCTTAAATGATGGAATCACAACAAAAAAATAATAATAATGATTTATGTGACCGAGGACTGAAAGTTTTATTATGGGATATATAACTCTCAAAGTCGATTTAAGTAAAATAGCCGAGTATGAGAAAACATGTTTCGAAAACTCAACAGACTTTCATATCATTTATCTTTGACACTTTTGATTTTCTAACACGAAAAATACTGAATCTTTTACTGAGAATGCAAAATCTCATGCATAATAATATTATGTTTTTTAGAACAATGAAAATAGTTTTTAAGAAACGGCATAGTTTTTTGTTTATTTGTTTGCTATTTATGTATAAAAATTATTAATATATTGTGAACGCTAAAAAATTTATGTGAATACTGCTCATTTAAGTAAAATAAGAAAAATTAGATCGAAGGTGATTTTTTATTAAACAAACCCCAAACAACCAGTCTTCCACAAATGAAGAAGCAAAACACATCTAAGAGAGATGATCGAGCTTCTCTCTAAAAATATAATTGATTCTTTGTAAATCTCATCAAGTTTTAATGAGGCCTCTTTGTTACATATTTATACTTTTTGTTTTAAAACTATTAAATTATAAAAAAGTATTCCAACAAAATTTAAGAATAAACTTTTTATTACACTATCCACATAAAAATATTTATAAATTAAAAAAAGTTAATGAAAATATTTGCATTGTCTAAAGTTCCAATTTAATTTGAATATCCAATTACAACCCAAATATTTTCATCTGAAGTGGTGTGATTGTGAATGATTGAATATCTTGACTACAATGATTCTCTAGAAAAGCAAAATATGAGATATCACTACCAAAATAAAAAGGCTTTTGAATCTATGAGAATGAGAAATGAATGAACTTCATTTATGCACTAACTAAGAAACAGAAGAAAAACAAAGTACAAATGTTATTTGTTACTATTGATTCTGTCTTCTTGTGTTTGAGATTGTGATACACACAATGCATCAGGATCAAGAAAAGAACACTGTCTAGAAATAGTGCTATAGCTTTTAGGATGATAAGCTGAGATTTTCTTCCCTTTTCCTTCAAAAATGACAGGATCATGTTCATCATCAGGAACACATTTATCACCTAATATAATTGTTTTCATCCAAACAGATTCTTCTGTTTTGGGTTTGGCTTTATTTATATCCTCCTTTATTTGATCCCAATTCTTTGCCAATGACAAATTCCTCGGCAAAGTTGGCATTTTCATGCTTAAACTAAACGAAGTCTTTCGTTCTGAAGTTACCCTTTTCATATTATTGTAAGAAAATGATTCTTTTGGTTGTAACATTGCAGGTGGAAGAGGTAACTCTTTTATCAGAAACTCATTGTTTTCGGTTTCTCGTCTTTGTTCAACAGGAGGAGACTTTTCATGTTCATGTTCATGTTCATGTTCATGTCCACGTCCGTGTAGCGGTGATATCGAAGATGGACTAGTTTCATTTGAATCTTTAGATATATCTAATGGTTGGGCTTGTGGTGGATTTGGTTGCGATTTTCTTAGGAATCGGACACTGCATATAGCGGTGGTTATGGCAATGGTTGCAACAAAACTTGCTAAGAAAAATGAGAGGTGAAGAAATGGGTGTATTAATATGATGTTATTATCAAGAGGGGATCTTCTTCCCATGATAAACAAACATTCAATTTGGGTGTCTTTTGAGGACTGAGAAGGTTTCCTATGCCTGCAAAGTCCTAAAGAATAATTACAAGTGTGAGAACAAATAACAAGATTTTGCATTCTTTGGGTTCGATGATTGCATGAGTTTAGGAGTTTTGGATGGGACAAAAACTTTTCTTCCTAATTTTGGTAAAACTGAATTCAACACTCATTTTTCCTTTAAAAATACCTAAATATGACAAGAGGTAATCAGAATAAGCTCCGCATAATTTGTCTCATCATTTTCTTCTATTCTTCTAAATTAAACTTATCAAATTATTCTTGAAATTATCATCATTGCCCACATTCATTTTTATAATTAAGGGTCAATGATTCTTATAAAGGTTATTTACTTAGCTTATCAAGTTTCATTTTTATGAGATTTAATCATATTTAAATATAAAATATACAATTATAATTGGTTCTCAAACCCCCTAAAGTTGAAGAGTTAATGTTAATTATTTCTAACTTGCCGATGATAGATTAAAATGTATAACTACTAAATATTTTTGTAAGAACATGTGTCAACTGATTTTCAATGGATATAAATGATATGCATACTGTTCTATTATCTAATTTTTCGTTGATAAAATGTCTATCTAATTCGACATGTTTGTTCTCTCATGTTGCACCAGATTATATGCAATATTTATTTTTGATTTGTTGTTGCAATTTAATTTCATGGGTTCATTACATTTAATCTTATTAGGTCATGTAAAATTATTTTCAGTCATAAAAGTTCACGAATTCCTAATGTCATAGCGTGAAATCTCGTTTCTGCACTTGACATTACAACAACATTTTGTTTTTTGCTCCTTCAAATCTCCAAGTTTCCTCCAAGAAAAGTAAAATATCCGAAGGTGGATCTTCTGTCTGTTGGTGCACAAGGAGAGATGAAAGATAAAGGAATATATTGAATGACGGCTACAAAAATAAGGAGTAATGAATAATTATATTAACCTACTACTAGGTTATTTATACACAAAATTAGGGTATAATAAATACTAAAATACTCTCTCACAAACTTAGTCATTAAGACATTCCTAAAATATAAATTATTTCCACCATCATCCCTTAATTTATATTTACACAAAACTGACAACATCAATTCCACCCCTCAAACGAAGAAATTGATCAGTCTTAATAGTCTTTGTTAGAACATCCTCCAACTGCTTTTGGGTGTTGCAGTGCACAACTTCTAATATTTCACTCTAAACCTGATTCTTCAGAAAGTGATACTTGGTCTCAATATGCTTGCTTCTCTCATGCAGCACTGGGTTCTTGGCAAGATTGATTGCAAACTTCTTATCAATCATCAGCTTCAGAGGTTTGTTCACCTCAATCTTCAGATCTTGCAGCAAGTTCAGAATCCACACAACTTGACATGCAGTCAGAGTGTCTGCAATATATTCAGCTTCACAGGTTAACAGTGCAATAACAGATTTCTTCTTGGAACACCAAGAAATAGGACCTCTCAGAAATTTGAATAAGTACCCAGAAGTACTTCTTCTGTCAACTCTGTCTCCACACCAATCAGAGTCTGAATAACTCAAGTTCTGATTCGATCTTTCTTCCAGAAGGAAATAACACTTCATACTTTTGAGTTCCTTCATATACCGCATTAAGTCGGCCTGCGAAAATTTCCAATTTCATGCTTCTGTTACAAACATGGCAGAACTTCATATACTAAGACCCACACCCTAATTGTTCAATTTTAACGCAAAAGAGGTCGAATTGATAAACAAAACCAGAAACTTTTCAACTTATGATAAGCAAACAACATCAAATTTACAATTTGAACAAGAAAGTTGCATTAATTCCTACCCTAAGTTTGAACATTAAGGAAATATATACATGCAACTTAAAACTATGAAAAAAACAGAAGTTAAACAAATTGAACACCTTGTTGGTTGTTGGAAAAGATAAGTAGAGATACCACAAGGAAAAGGAAAATGAAGCTCTAAGAGTGAACAATGGAGGTAATGGCTAGATAGCAAGAGTGCAAGTGAGAGAGATGATGGAATTTTGTGAAATGGGATTGGTTTTTCCCTAGCTGCGCTATTAGGGTGCTTCTTGCCGTAGACACAAAAGAGTCTTCAGCTCTGGGTCGTTTCTTGGAACTACTTTCCCCTTCATACTCTTTTAGCTGATGGGCCAAGTCCCTTTTCTTTTATGTTAAGAAATATATTTCCATTTTTTTGTCTTCCAAATTCTGGCGAAGGTCCCTATTCTCCAATTGTACTTGATAGAAGTGTTCCTTAGGCACGTTGTGTTGCAACTCAGTAGGTTGAAGATACAAGGAGATTTCCTTTTCAAAAGAAACATAAGAGTTTTGACTCTTTCCTTCAACCAATCCACGTAAGGATCAAAAGCTAATACCTCTTTTAGCCCGAAGAATTCTTTTCCCTTCCTTCCAATATGTGCCCAAGAAATCTCCACCTTCCTCAGTAATTCTGGATCTTCTCCTTTTTTGAAATACATAGGTTCGACCTCCTTGGTCGTGGGTGGATGCCTCATGGCATAACCTAATTGGCAAAGAGAGAGTACTCGATTGTAGTTGATAACCCCTTTTGTTCCCATGAGCGGAACATTAGAGAAACCTGCATAGTGAGAGATGACTTCGGAGCTATCCACCTTAAGTTTGTACCATTGGATATCGAAAGAGGTGAGTGTCATCACTTTGGATGCCCATGAACGGGGATCTTATTTGAATGGCCCTTTGGTGGGTAACTGTGTCATGAACCATTTGTAAAGCATAGGTGTACAGCATACCACTACTCCTTTCTTTCCATGCCAGGAGTGGATGGCGTGGTAAGTATCCGCTAATAGCGTAGGTATAGGATTCTTATTCATGAAGACGCAAAGAGAAGCCAAGTCTATGATTTCTTTAATCTCAGGGAATAAGATAACTCTGTAAATGATAGCAGCCAACAGAGCATAATAAGCATCCAAATTCCCTACGTTTTCCATTTCCTTAGCCTTACTTACTAAGAAATCTACAGGAAGGCCACAAGTGAATTTGTTACGTCTCCATTTCCCTTTTATATTGTTAAGGCTAAAATAAAGAACCTTAGCAATGGCCTCAAAGTCAGGCTCAATAGGGACTCGAACAAATGGAACATGACTGGTGAGCTTAATGTTGAGAAGATGGGCATACTCCTCAAGAGTAGGTGCTAACTGGTACTCTTGAAATGTGAAACAACGCAATTTCGTATCATAAAATTATAACAAAGTTTGTACAGCCTTATCGTCAACCCGAGCATCCAATAAAGATAGGAGATTCCCATATCTTTCACCAAAAATGCCCATTTGTTGACAATTCATGAGGTCTCTGAGCTCTTCAAGAGAGGGCCAAATACTAGGACGAAACTGATAGTTGAAGTTATCCCTCTTTGTCTTTAGGATGATATCAATGTTGTTTGCCATTCTTTAGAGGAAAAGGAAATCCTGGAGAGATCCTGGAAATTACAATGCGCACGCGAATTAATTATCGACATATATATATATTTTTGAAAAGTAAATATGCTATGATGTGTGTGCAAATGATCATGGGGTTACTACTTCCATGATACTGATTCCTGTTTTACTGCCTCTTCATATTCTATTAATACCGAGATTACAGGTCTGAAACGTAACCGGAAGAAATCCATGAAGATCATAGTTGGATCCTCGGAAAATAAATCTAAGAACCTCAAAATTGTTGGCAGAAATCCAGGACATAACCAAAAGTAACTGTCTGAATATAGTCACCAATTGTACCTGTGATAAGAATTCCCTCCCCACTCACGTGTGAAGACTAGGTCAGGGTAAGATAATGGTAACTCGAAAATCACGAGTTCGCCTGAAAGTAAAATCATCACAACACAGACGTGCATGATGAAAGTACCTTCAATTGAACCTCATCCGAGCGTGGTATATGATATGACTGCACTAATTGGACCACGTCCTATAGCCGTCATGCCCCCACTCTATTCCTAGGTGTCCTAGTGCACTCTGGCCTGGGTACTGAGCCTTTTACCTCAATAGTAATATCCCCACCCAAACAAGAAGCAGATCCAGTACAACAGTAGTATATGGAAGACAGTAAAGTGTGATGTAAACATATGCTCAGATAAACATGTACAACTGAGTAAACTAAAAGCATAAAAATAAACACCCAAAGAAAAGAAAACAAGAGCTAGGATCGACTCCGGGATGGACCAGCATTTGGTCGACCTGTCCCCAGTGAAGTCGCCAGCTGAAACAACCGGCTGAAAATTATCAAACAATGAAGTCTCCATCAAACGTCTTTTATCCCATATAGAGGGAAAGGTAAACATCGAGAAAACCTGAGAAGGGAGAAGTCATTTTCTTGCGACAGAGAGATCAGGTAAGGGAGTATGTTACGCGAGGGGAAGGTATTAGCACCCCACACGCCCGTAGTACTCTACGGTATTCACTCTTGTTCTCTATCTTATGGGTGTGTTCAATCTATGCTTACCGTTTACTATACTACTGAAGGGAGAATGCATGAAAAAGAAAGGGGAAAAGTATGTAGGGAAAATAAAATTATGCTCGTTCGGGCCCTACCCCGATGCCTACGTATCCATTTTAAGGAATCAGAGCAGCCGTAATTCAGCTCACATGTTTTTGTTGGTTTGTATTTTTTAATAAACAATATTAATTTCGCCTTCTGCCGCAACTCGACCTTTGGAGACTTACGCGTCAGTACAGAAGTGAATTAACATGCTCTTTTGAAAAGAGTTTAGAAAGGAAGGCCCGTAGGCAAAAAGAATTTGTGTTGGTTGGAAATTCTGGTATATAGCCTGGTTTTGAATGGTCATGAACTACTAAATTCTAAACATGCGGGATTTATCACGGCAACTGTTTTAGCATAGTGTAGATGGCATCTTCACGATTCTTCTTTTCTGAACTAGTTTTGTTTGCAAGTTGCTAAACTATTTTTCTGATTGAATTTATGAACTGTTTAT